CCTCCCAGAGCCTCGTACAGCACGTATCCCAGCACTGAACAGCCCAGGCCAGTCCAAAGCAGCGTCGAAGGACCCACATCTCCCTGCTCCATGTAGGACCACAGCGTCAGGAACAGCGCCACGCATGAGAGCTGCTGAGAGACCAGCCCGGCTTCTCGAACCACTGCCCAGTAGCTGTACTGACGCACTCTGATGTTGCGTCGAAGCTCCTCCAGGAAGCGGCGGTCCACGTAGTTGTCAGGGAAGGGCTGGCGCTCATACAGCACTTTACGCCATGGCACAGCTGGAGTAGCACCTGCATCGCTGTCTGCGCCCATTGCCTGCAAATGACATACAGTACAGAGCTGAATACAGCTGAATCCCAGATCACTCCCTGGTCTCTTATACACACTCAGTGATATTTATGTGTATGAGTAACAGGTACATTCCACAGCACACACAGTGCAGTGTACATGCATTAAAGAGATAGGATAGGAACAGATAGAGGAAATGTTACTGTTCGTGAGCATTATCGCTACCTCGGCGGTGGGTTAATGAAGATTTACAGTGTAATCCGCTGACACTCCGCCATGTTGACAGGAGTCCTGAAGGAGGAAAAGGCGCATTTCCGCTTTCGCTTTTCATAGAAACCACTTTCCCTTGGTCGCAGGTTGATTACTTCACTACAACACGTACACGAGACATATTACAAAGCTAACGAGCAATTAATTTGTTTAAAAAAAACAACAAAAACAAATACGGGACCATACCTGACCAGCTCCTGTTCCTCCAGCTCTGATTAAACCTCGAATTCCAGGAAGTGACGCCTACTGAAAACAGGAAGAGCGCGCATGTGCAGTTGTGCCCCCTGCTGAAAGAGGAAAGCATGAGCTGATGTCAGGGCGGAGGAAGGTGTGGAATGTAATAAAGCTTATTGAAATAACTTTCCGTACACTTTGGACTGGGAAAAGTTTTGTCATTTAGACTTTTATACAAATATAATTTTAAATGACATTTGAGAAATGTATACATTTCTCATTACAAATCAGTGAAGACTTTTATACACAAAATATTTCATACATCTCAAACTACTGGAAATATACTGCACTGTGTGGATATTTAGAATAAAATAGCTTTAAAAAGAATATTTTTAAAACGATGCTTGTGCCTTTACGCTTTGGAAGACGGTTTCTTGTAATTCTTTTTTTGTCTTTACAAGCATTTTTTTTTCCTTCAATTTATTTGAGGACGTGGAAAAATTGACAAATTGGGTCAGACAACAAAAGGTGAAAAAAATTCACGAGAGGTGAGAAAGATTAGCCTGACCACCAGCAGTGATGATGAATACACCTCAACCTCTGCAGCCACGGCTCATTCTACATCTATGTCTGATTTTTTTGGACAAACAGACAGCACCTACAAAATCTACCACAAGAACAAGACAAGGAGGGGCAGAAGATGGAAGAAGACCCAGACAGGAACCTCTACAGCGTCACTGGGCCTTACGATCCAACAGTCATAAGCATATCTAGTACACCTCTTTCTTCTGTTTCGATTAGTGTACTATCCAAAGACCTATCTTTTTGCCACATGCATTATAAAAACGAATTCAGAACAAAAGTTGACCTCTTTAAATTATATATAAGCCTTCAGTTGAAGTTTTGGTACCATTGCAGTAATCTTACTAACATCTCCGGAGGCAGAACTACTTTCTGACCCAAATCCTAATTTTTTGCCCCCAGTATCTAAGACCCACTCTCACTCCCTTTCCTAGGAAAGCAGACTCTGATATGGAACGGGTGTTTTTCACAGCCGTTAAAAAAGTCAGGAACAATTTGTCTGTATCCAAAAAAAAAAAACAAGCTTTGGACTCACTGGCTAAAAATGATTCTACAATTATCAAACCTGCTGATAAAGGTTGTGCTGTTGTAGTAATGGATAAAGACAAATGCAGTGATACACTGTGGCCTTCAGACAACTTAACAACAACTGTAACTACAACAGACTTTCTTCTAACCCACTGAACCACACACAAGAGTCTCTAAAGGAGATTCTGTTAAATTTTATTGAGTCCGGGTGGATTACTAGACAGGAGCATGACTTTCTGTGGTGCACTCACCCCAGATTACTCACATTCTATATGCTCCCCAAAATACATAAAAATCTTCCAGGTCCACCAGGACGAGCCATCATTTCATCACACGGGTCGCAGCTTCACAGTGTGTGGGTTTCTTTATTAAACCTCTGACACAGCAACTACCTTCCCTTATTCAGGACAGCAATCATGTCCAGAATGCATTACAAGAGATAACGGTTTCAGACAGTAGCTATTTGTTGACCTTTGCTGTGGAGTCCTTGTACACAAACATCAATCATCAAGGACTACAGGCTCTTCGGTATTTTTTGAACAGTAGACCACTGGAAGCTTATCCTCCTGCAGAATTCATTCTCCAGATAACAGAATGAACATTAAAAAGCAACGTGTTTCTCTTTCAGGATCAACTTTACATTCAAATATATGGCACAGTGATGGGAGCATGCTGTGGACCAAATCATGCTAATTTATTTCTTGGTTTATGGGAGAATGATTATGTTTACCAATCTGTGTATCCCAGTAAACTTTTATTCACAGGCGACATCTTATGTTTTTGGACAGGCACTAAGGATGAATTGCTTCTCTTTTTTTGACCACATTAATAACATCAATAGAAATGTTAAATTAAGTTTTGATTATTCACAAAGCAAAATGAGTTTTTTTAGACTTGATGATTTCAAAGGGAGAGGGAGGTTGTCTGCATACTACTGATAGAAACTCCCTACTAAGAGCTGATCGTTTCCATCCAAAATAGCTAACGGACAAGATCCTTTTTGGAGAATTTCAGCACCTTAGATGCATTTGTGATACAGATAGTGAATATCAAGTACAGGCCAATGTATTAAGTGTTTTACGTGTAGGGGATATCAGAAAAAAGGTTGTTCAAGGTGCTTGTGAAGGAGCTTTTTTAACTTCTTGGATTGAATGCCTACAAACTGCACAGAAAAAAAGAAAAAAGAAAAAATCAAGTCTAGTTTGTAACTGAATATGGTCATTTATAGAATCATGTAAAACAAATTCTTTGCAATTTGTTTCAAAGTGACCCCACTCTAAGGGAAGTTTCAGAAGAGCACCTTCCTTAAAAGATAAACTAATATGAAGTCACATATCTAGTAAGAAGGAAACTACCTGGCTTCATCAGTCTTTAAAGGGCTTACATAAATGTGGCTCCTGCAACCGTTGCTGCGTTATAAAGGAAGGCAAACGGTACATTGATTTTTGGAAGCATTAGAAACAGTAGGTAAAAATGTACGAGGTGGAGATCGCTTGAAATTATTATTATAAAGGGAAACATTCTACATATCAGATGAAGGCAATGGACTTTCCTGATTTAAATGAAGAAATTGATTTTTCTCTTTCCCTGAAATCTTTTATTCCCTTTTCCAGTGCACGGTACTGAATATGTGCACTACTGTTTACATTTTGTGTAGGTTTCTGTTTATATTTAGTTATCTTCTCTCATTGTGGCACCATCTAGTGGTGTCCTTTTAGACTAGCTATAGACTTACTCCACCTAGTGGCATTTTGACGCTAGCCACCTCTGCTTGTCATTTCATTTGGGCGGGTGTCTAATTTAGCTGCTTTAGGTGCGAGCCCATTTGAGGCAGTTTTGTGTTTGTGGGGGTCGCACCCTCAAGAAGGCGTTTTTGCCAAAATGCAGCCCATTGTTCCCTTTTTTTTTATATTTCTACCACACACACACACACACACACACACACACACACATATATATATATATGTAATATTTATATTATTATTATGAAATAGCCATTTAAATAAAGGCTTTTTAACAATCTAAATTGGAAGTGTGCCTTGGATTACCTTTTTTGGACTACTTTTTTTTTTAAGTGCTTTTGAATTTTTCATTTGTTAGTTTTTTTCCCCCAGCTATTAGTCAACTGGGGTCTTTTCAGGTAGCGCATAATGGCAACCCAGACAGTCTAGCCTAGCATATGTGGAAGTTGTTTACCATATATGGTAATTTGTGTGTGTTTCTTTATGTAAATGGGTGTGACCATGCATGAGCAGGTACGAGAGTAGTTTAGAATTGTAGGATTTATCAGCATCCACTGCACAGAAGGAAATGAGCATTTATTACATGTACACACCCACAACTGTACACAATGGATGTTAATAAATCTTATACATTATATAAGTGCCTAAAGAAACACGGCCAAATCACCATATTTGGTAAACAAGTGCCCTTTAAAAAGCCCAGTAGCCTAGCACTGGCTGTTGCAGATGACGTGGAGCATGTCAGAGGGTCTGAGACTTCACCAACAATGAAATAGAGCTACTGTTACACAAACCAGAGTAAGAAATAAGTATAAAATATATATACATATATTTAGGATTTTATGGCTACATGTGCGCATTCTATGGCAATTTACAGAAAACTCAGAAAACTCTTCTCAGAAAGAGCTTCTTCAAAACACTTTCCCAGTGAAAAAAAGCTGTGCCAAAGCTTCAGACAGGTCATCATGCCAATCAATCTTTACATGTAGATCCTTTTATACGATTGCACTTTATGTTTCTTCTGTGTCACTCTGTGCATGCACAGTTGATAAATGAGACTCCTGATGAGTTTACAGCCGAGACTCAGTCCAACCCCAGCGCTTAATCTCCAACACTGAAGACAACCCTGATCTCCACTCTGCACACAGGTAGCAATGAACATTTTTACTATTTTTACTAGCATTAGATATGTTTTTTTTTTTCCACAATTCTGTCCACACTATGAATGATGGTTGATGGAATAAAAGGTAACAATATCGTGTAAACAAGGCTGGCTCAAATCAGGAGAATCAAGAGAAGGTAGATAATTAGATTAAAGGGTGAGTAAGCGTGGAGCTGGAGGGCTGGAGTCCAGAAGAGATTTAATTTATGGGAATCTTTAATCTTCCTTACTTGTACATGTGATAGTGGGTCCCTGGAGGACTAGTGGTTAGGCCAAAGTGCTCTCACCGCTGCGGCCCAGGTGCGATCCCTGGCCAGGGAACCAAACCCAGCCGCTGGAGTTGTGCGCAACAGTGCGCTCTCAGTGCCGGTCACAAACCCGGATAAAATGGGGGAGGGCTGCATCAGGAAGGGCATCTGGCGTAAAAACCGTGCCGAATCAAACACGTGGGCTACCGATCCACTGTGGCGACCCCTAAAGGGAGCAGCCGAAAGCGGAACAACAACTTGTATGCGTGATAGTTTTGAGGCCACTGTGTTGTCTCAGGCTTAGCTGAGCGCATCTCTGCATGCCACATTTACCCATGATCTCCCTCTGTGCGTGCAACGAAAAGACGCAAATATCGGTTAACGCAGAAGTATAAACCAGGCTTTACACTTCATCACAGATGGGGGTGAAGGATCTGAGGATCTGAAAACAGCATAAAAAGGATAAAGAAAGGATTCCAAAACTTTACTATAATTAAAATTTTAATGACTTCTGTATGAACTCTTTGATTTGAGACTCACAAAGCTCATCAATGGCACAGTCAGTACATCACAGCATCAGTGTTATTAACGAAACATCACCAAGGCAAATATGAATCCAGGTATTTTAGAGGAACTTCTTTCAGTACATTTTCTCTTATTCGTCATATAGACTAGAGGTGTGCATCAGGACCTGGATCCTCCCGGACCAAACAGGAGCAGGCGGTCACATATGACGCCTGTGCGACAAAAACGACAGATTCATTAACATGGGAGCGGACTGGGTTCTCGCCTAGCGCTCAGCACCTTCGTCCATTCATCCAACTTATTGCAGGCAGTTATGAACAAAAATATTAACTGAGGAACAAGTGGGGTTGAGATAAAAAACAAAAGGTCTAATGCACACCTCTAATACAGACCAGTATTTATATTACTGCTCAGTAATAGCATAAAGCATTGTAGTACAAACTATATTAGATGGCGAACAATGTATTTTTAAGTTTCTGAGATTTTTTTATATTCCAAATACACATTAAAACATATCTATGCTATGCAGCAGATTTCCTGAGGGTTCCATAAACACTAAAGAGCCAATATAACTTTATATACTCATCAGGTGTCAGGTATTAAACAGCTGGCAATGTACATGCTTAAAATGACAACAAAAAACAAAACAAAACAGATACACACCCTAAAGGTAGCTGTTAGGATATGTGTAGGGAAGAGGTTAAATAAGATCAAGCATGATTTGACATGTGTTTAACGGAAAGTGAAGTAAAGGCATTCATCTGTACGAAGTCGTGAGAGAAATGAACTTTATAAGCTGGTCATTAGAAGATAAAATGTTTGATAAGCCAACTCATTAATCTTCCCGTTAATGAAAATATTTGGTGTAGATACGCCACAGAAGGAGAATTTCATCTGCGAACTTTTCGCCAGTAGTCTCCGAGCACGTGGTTCATTCCGCTCGGGATGCGTGCGTAGAGGCTGGACTTATCTCATGCTGGACACGCAAGGGCGGCTTTTCAGCTAACCCTGAGCTCATACATCCTGCGGACAAATTACAAAGCTTGAAATGTCTTTCTATAAATCACTCCAGGTCACGCCTGACTCACTCGGCTGCTTGTTGCATTGCTGCAACTGGAGCGGTGGTCAGCGAGGACCAGAGGAACAGCTTGTAGGTCATGTGATCTGCTCCGCTGTCCTGTAGTGATTTATAGACCCAGGATCCCTTTCGCTTTACTCCACAGTGATTCTGGGCCAAAAACAGCCCTTGGCATTGTCCTTTAGGGCAGCTGACACAGTGGGGAGCGTTTGTAGAAGCAGCGTTTTCATTAGGTCTTAAATCATGGCCATGTTTTGTTTTTTTGTTTTTTTTTGTTACCTCTAAGCAGCATTGTGATAAGGGTTCCTCAGATATCAATCTTATAGAGCACATCTACAGCAGACATTTCACTGGATATCTTACAGGAAAAACCAAGGCAGCTTGAAGTACAGTAAAGTTCAAGGGGAAAGTGTCTTTTGTTTTGCTAGGAGCAGGCAAACCATTTAATATGCGTTAAAATATTCCCTAAATTAAACATATTTCATTCTGCTGATCTGAGGAAAAAAGAGAGAAAAAAAAAAACCTATAAGTAGTGTAGATGTGTGTCAGTGCCTCAGTGATATTTCTACAGTCACTGTTGTTATCAGGTTGATGAAATTTACTTTAAAAATGATGATATAAACTGCAACAATATCAGTTAATTCTTTGTTTAAGTTAAAAATATGTTGAGTGTCCTCCTTTTTTTGTAAGATCTGTCACCTATAGCAGCTTAGAGATCTGGGTCTCTTCATTTATAGGCTGAGAAAACAAACCAGGGTGTTCTTGGCTCAGCTTGAGTGGGCAGAAGTAGGTGAAGGTGAGGAGAGTAAGGGAGAAGGTTGATGATGGAGAGAAAACGAGAACATTTCTCTTTTCAGTCCCAGAATTGCTCCTCCCAGATGTTTGGCAGAGGTTACGTGCGTGTTTTCTTCTTGTCGTCGAAGAGGCTGCGCAGCAGGTAGACCTGCACGCAGGACACCACCACCATCACCACCATGTTGGTGAAAGACCAGATGTTGACGCGCTCGTAGTTGCTCTCCTGCAGGTTGCGGTCACGCGCCTCGAAGGCCTTCAGCACCGTCTGAATCTGCAGACTCTTCCCTAATCGTGCCTTCACGCTGTTTATCGTGTCCTGGGAAGAGAAGAACACTGACCTTAAATCGGGTACAAACACACACAAAGCAAAACACTGTGGAAGAGTGACACAGGCTGAACGAAATGCATGTTATTCTGTCTGAAAAATGCAAAGTAGGTTTGATTCCTCCTGTGCTTCCATTTATAGCCATAATTTATTATTGTTTAACTTTGGAACAGAGAATCAAAGATTTCAAACGATAAGCACAGACATAAGCCCTATTCAGACAGGATTAAATTTACATGGGGTCCTGTGGTAAGTTCGTATGTTACAGGTGCTACTCCGAGGTCCGTACTGTTTTTCACCAAACTCAGAGTCCTGTTCAGATACACTGTGAAAATCTGTGATCTTCTATGCAGATGTCACCTCACATTTGCAGCTGCCTGACTGCTGTTACTTGCTGTATTTAGTCTTGTAGTGTGCTTATCAGTGACCCTTGCCCAGATATTAAACACTTCCTCAATCTCAATACAAAAACGGACACTTCTTATATACTTTGTGATTATTGTTTTATTGGATTTTCAAATCGTTGCTGGAACTTTGGTTCGCCCCAAATTGAAATAAGAGCCAGCGTCTCTTCTCTACTCCAGCGGCTCTTCGACCGCTTAGACGCCACGCTGTGAATGGAGTTTGAACATATGACCATGTGACGCAAACATCCGGGTTCGTAGAAAATACAACCTGCCAGAAATTCTATTGTTCTCCGGACGCCAGAGTTTTATCACTGAGGAGAGGTGTAAAAAATTATTACACACGTTCCCCTGATAAACTAATATAAAAGTATTCTTAAACGTTTTCTTAAGTGGTGCCTTTTTTTTTTTTTTTAACCCCTTACACTTAACATTTAGTGGTGCCGGCCTTGGAGAGAGTCTCTTCCTAGCAATGCCTGGGTCTGTAATGCCTGGGTCTGTAATGCCTGGGTCTGTAATGCCTGGGTCCGGGTCTGTAATGTAATGGAGACATTTTGTAGAGAGATCTCTGTCCACGCCTCCATGTAAACCATTCTGAGCGCCTTTACACACTGTGCTACTTCGGAAAAACTTCCTGCACAGCTGCAGTTTTAATCTTGAACTTCCTGAAACTAATATTGTTGTCTGGAATCTATTTATAACCTGTGGGCCAAAAGCAAGCAACAGAATTGTGGAACGTGGTCAGTTCATGAATCCTTATTATTCAGAAATATTCAGTCACTGCACCTGGCAGATATTTTATTCAGAGTGAATTACAGTGCTCAAGTGCTCATTCGTCTTTCTCAAGCCCGTGGCATAAAGACACCAACAAGCTACAGCACTATCGCGAGTAACCTGTTGCACAATTTACTTTACTCTAGCTTTTTCAGTTTTCATCCTTTTTCTTGTTGATTTTTTGACGTTAATAAAACCAGTGCTGAAACCATACAAGTGCTACAGTGATATATTTTTGCCACATACTTCACCCATCCTTTTGAGTCACTGCTTCCCATTAACACTTGCTGTGGTTTTTGCTGATCTTGTGAAACGACTTGATGATAGAAAAGTCTTGCTGCTTTCATTTTTGTGAAACCTACCCGTGTTTTCAGCTGCGCCTCCAGATCGAGCTCTCCTGAGCTAGGAGCATTCTTTTCATGGTTAGAAAGCTGTCTTGTAAGAGAGCTATTCTCAGTGCTAAGGTGCTAAGATGCATGTGTTCCCTCACCATGATGTCTTCCAACTTCATGTCCAGGAGGTCAGCGCCTTGCACGTACTCCTTCCAGCTCTCAGGATCTTCTCCGTCATCCATGTTGTCCAGAATGAGCTCGAAGAAAATAATCTTCTCAGACACCGCGCTGAAGGTGTTGTCGAAGCAGAACATGTAGTCTCCATCCTCTGTCTCCACTCTGAGAAAGAACGCCAGACACCATTAGGGTATCTAATGTAAAACTAATAATAATACATGTAGACAGAAAGAATGAGTGAAAAGTGTGTGTTAAACCTACGTATGAACTCCGTCAGACTTCCTGAAGTCAGAGGCCAGAATGTGACCAGTGGGAGAGGACAGGTAGAAATCCACGTCCAGTCCTGCGCCGTCCAGGACCTGCAGATTCAACAACACACACGATCAGGAAATCTGTAAACCGTCCTTCGTCGTAATGTCTCTCTAAACCAGGCGCAAATCAGAGGAGAGCCCAAGACTACGATGTGAAATAACGACCCTTTGCCTTCAACTCTGGCTTCAGATATGTGTTTCATAACACTATTCGGATTGTGCCACAAGTCTGCTCTTTACTGATGTGGAAACTGGTCTTGCACACTCACTGACCACTTTATTAGGAACACCTGCACATTGATGAAATTGGGCAGCTGAAGACAGGAATAATATCAGATCATCAGTTTCAATG